AGCAATTAAACAACTTTAAAATTGCTGATAATTCTAAAAATATTGCATACAAATTTACTAAAGGCATAAAATTCTTAACCGGAAGATAAAAACGACATAATTCAATCATTTTTAAAGCAAAAAATGTACAATTTACAAACATATAAGAGTAAAGAAACTGAGATCACTGAGCCGGGTAATAGAGTAGATATATATATATATATATATATAATATTTTTATATACGTTTATATAATGCGGCCGATTGCAAGCAAAATACGAGGTGAACATCTAAATGTTATAGCAGTCCTATATACAAAATTTCAACGTTCTGAAGCTACTCGTTTTTGAGTTATGCGAGATACGTACGTACATACGTTCGTACAGACGCCAAGAAAAATTATCTTCAGAATTCATTTTAAAGCAGTTTTATAATTTTTTTGAAGGAAAATAGTCTTTTATTCTGTCCTTACGTACAGATATCACGCAAAGAGCATCGTTAAATTGCATTCGATAGCGGTCAAAATGGATATTTTCGTTGAAATATGCTGCCTGAAACTTTTCGCGATTATAATACTTCCTTTTTACAAGGAAGTAAAAAGGGAGAATCTTTTTTTTTTTTTTTTTTTTTTTTTTTTTTGGGGGGGGGGATATATTGCAATTGGTGAATTATATTCGTGTTTTCTACAAGCACGTGTATGGATTCACGTGCGTACACTGTTATTTTGTTGTTTACTTACCTTAATGTATTTCTCACCATTTGTTATTTGTATGTATTGGGGACTACATGTATGCTTCATTTTCTTTTTTCCGTCCCTTCTGTATGTAAACTTTTTATTGTCATGGCCAAGCTGGTTCACTGGAGAGTGCAACTGAGCCTGGATAGTTCAGTCAGACTTGGTTATTTAAATTATACAATTTGGGATCAGACATAGGGGTATTCTTTTGGAATTTGTTTCCATACAGAGCTGATGTAGATAAATGTAGTGCCATTGTGAGGCGTATGAAACTTTTTTGTAAAGGAAAATAATGTTTTCAGGAGAGGGAGGGAGAAAAATGAATATAGGTATGTAAGTTTAAAAGCTATTTCTTCCGCCTTTGTGGTTGGTTTTGTGCACGCTGGGCGCATATTCCAGAGGTCGGTGGCTCGGTTCCCGGCGAATGCGTTGCTTATTTTTCATTTTTCCTGCTTCAAGAAATACCTAATGTCTCTACAGTGGCGCCCGAACTAAAAAGGTGGTGGATGATGATTCTTCACACTCATGATTTGGCGACTGGGTCCCCTAAAACCCCAGTCGCTTTTTAAAAGGGGGAGTATATAAGGTATTTATCCCGCCTTCTTAGCGTGCATTCGGGGTGTGGTAGTCTGCACGCTGGGGGCGTATTAGGTCCGTGGTTCGATTCCCGGCATATGCGTTGCTTTTTTCATCTTTTTTGCTTCAAAAAATACCTAATGTCTGTACTAGTTAATAAGTAAATAAATACGTTAATTAATAAATTCCAACTTTAATTTGTAATAGCCCCTTAAGTCTGTTTTTCAATTTGATTATTTCCCCTTCTATGCTGAAAGTAACAAATAAATCAATAAAATGAATCACTTTCTGGTACATCATTTCAAAATTAATTCCTGTCATATGATTCTTATGTGATGCTCATGACGCATGTAATACTTACATAATGGCAGAAGGGCAACTAAAATCTTTTAGCTAATAATAATATTAAATTATCCAACAAAACTTTAATTAACCATGAGGGATAAAATGGAATAATCCTTTCACTAACATCCATATTGTTATTCGCGCATTTCTTCTCAGAATCTGTATTCTGTTGAAACGTTGTTCGCCGGTTATCTTTCTTAATTAATTAAGTTTCTATTTTTTACTCAAGAATTTTTGTTAAGAATAAAGAAGAGTTCAAGGAATCACGACTATAGCTATATACTTGGTCCAGATCCTTTATAACGCTCTATGTCGACATTAGAAATGTTTCTCATTATACAATATTTTTCATTATATTTTCATGTCTGCTGCTTGGTTCTGAGGACGTTACATGGTTTGATATCGAAAATCCCTTGGGGGTTTGGCTCCCCTGGTCAACACTGGGAGACAGTCGTCGATGTCTAGCTATGATTTTGTTCTTGATATTTCTTTGTAAGAAGATGATATTTAATAAATGAAGGTAACACACAAAACGTTAAAAAAAAAAAAAAACGCGCTTTTGGAAGTAGTTTAAAAACTGAAACCTTCAGATTTATTTATTTGTATTTTTTTTTTTTTTTTTTTTTTTTTTCGCAGTGTACCCCACTAGACGTGGCTAAATAAAATTCTGTTTCATTTGTGTCTAAAGTTCGTCAGTGGCAACTTGTTAACATCTGAGGCATAGTTCTTTGTAAAAGACTATTATGCAAGCAGAATTGTAAAACAGATAAAAAACAGAGTAGAAAACTTTTATTTATGCTGACTTTTGATACATTACCGTTGTCAGTCCTTTACGCAATTCTGTATGTAGCAGTTATTTCAGCTTAATTTAAAGGTGGAGTTAAAAACAACTAATGTCTAGGTAGACGGAAATTGAAAATCAATGGATCTTTTATCACGAACATACATACATTGATAATTCATCGTTGCCATACCCTATTAGCATATTTTCCACCACGTGTTAGCTCATATGCACGTGAGTGTTTTTTACTTTCACGAGTTTAAAGCATTTTCTAGTCAAAAGGACAATGAAGTAATTACTAAATAATGTGGAGTACTGACTCTGCAAAAGCAGGAAATACATTTCACGTTCTCATGCTCTGAGAGTCCGAAAACGTGATGATGATCATGAGTGATATTTAGTAAAAGTTGTGTAATTTTATAGAAAAATTGACGATAAAATATGTTCTTGATAGTATTTGGAGTTAATCTTGACATTTTTTTTTTGCACTCTCTTTATTTTTAACTTGCATTATAAGGAAAACCAGCAACAATCATGAATCCCTTAGAAAAACTTTCTTTCGATTCTTTGAACCATGTACTTAAAGTTTTTTTTCTCCCCTTTTATGATAATAAATGGCTCTTTTTTTGTTACAATCATTTAAATACACCCATGCTTCATCTATTGTGACAATTGTTTTCCACTTTTCTTTGGATAAGTGTTTCTCATATAGAATTCTGCAGCGTGTCCAGCGTTGAGCGATATGCTTTGGAAGAAGACGATGCAAATTGCATTTTTTCGCTTTCTTAAGATTTAAATCAACGTTTATCATTTTGTTTACAGGGGACGCTGAGCATTTTAATGATTTTGCAACTGTCCTTTGACTAGGGGGATTTTCTTTTAACATTAAACAACGTAGCTTTGCAATAGTCGAAGATGTCCGTTTTTTCCTTGGATACTTGTTTGGAATTTTCGTCCCACTTGAGGCTCCAATTTGACGTTTTTCTCCTTTCTTGTTGATGACATTTACCTATCGACGCTTTAGATATCACAAAACCATGACTCTCACATCGTTTTTGGATACGGAGTATGCATATTTCTCTTCGGAAAGAGCGTAAATGTAGCCTTCGAACCACTCCTTTGTTAAATTCGCCATTTTGAATAAAAACAAAACTGTCAAGCCACAGACGATAATTTTGACTTTTAAAAACATAGTACAATTGGAATTACTTCTTTTGCAGCAAACGATTTTTTATTACCGCTTACCAAACTCATCTAAAAATGTGCGAACAGCCTCTGGACTTGAGAATATTATTGTCTTTTAAAGAAGTATTTTAAAGAAGCGTTTGATGTCTTATTGCTTGACTAGAATAGAAATGTCTAGTTTCAAGAATAAATTTTACCGTTATAAATTAAAGTCTACGACAAGGATGCTAAGATTTGAATGCTACAATGATTAGTTCAATCGTGAAACGAGGGTATGTGCAAAGAAGTGAATGAATAAATAAAAACCGCTTCAATATTGGGTTCTAAAAGTAATAAATCTATATCTAATTTTGATAAAATCATTTTGGTGTATATTCGTCCTCTGCCGGAGAATCTGTTTGCCGAATTTCGTAACCATAAGTCTCTGCGCGATGTACTATGAGACACACAGTACACAAACGGCAGAAACAAATTCTTTCTTTTATGGTTATAGATGTTTCGTTTGGGAAAGTGTCGAATATCTTTTGAGAAAACAGAAAGGAATAGACATCTACGCGAGTCACGTATCTGTTGCACTTTGCCGAGCAGCTCTTAAGGAATTTCACTTCTAAAGTCTTTGGAACATTTTGCTACTCCGTGATCAGGTTTTAGAATTTAGGTTTACTGAAAACTTCCACAACTTTTAAGTGTCTTAGTTTAGATATTTCTCTTCTGCTTCCATATAGAGGTAAAAGAATGGACGATTAATATTGTTGAAGAATATGTTGTCTCCTGCCTACTCTGCGGTCATTCACATATGCATTTTTAAAATTATTTAATTTAATTTTAATTTATTAAATTAGTAGATTTATTTTCATGGATAGATTATGCACTTGATTTGCTTATGCTTCTGAATTTAAATGATATTGTAGATTAGTTCGAGAATTAAATCTTTTCCATGTTTGCACATTTTTTTAAAAAATTATTTTAAATTTTGGCTTTTTTCCTTTTTTTTTTTTTTTTTTTTTTTTTTTTTTTTAGAATTTAAATTTGCTTTTTTACTTTTATACGTATTTGTTAAGAATTTAAATTTGTTTAAATTTAAATTTAAGATGTAAAATAAATATTTTTGTCCTTTTAAAAGAATTGTTGTACTTTATTGTAAATAAAAGGTGCGTACATATGTACTAAACCTCTTTTATGTCATTTATAGCTATTGTTGTGGTATCCGTGTGTTGTTTAAAACAACTTGTAAATTCTTTCTTGTGATGCAAAAATGGTTTTGGTTATATCGATTTGATTTGCATCAGTATGTACAGCGATATGATATTAGTTTTAATCTGTGTTTATAATGATATAAAATTGCTTTGATTTAAATATAAGAAAATTTAACATCTTTCAATCTTGTTTCTTTGCTAGTTTATTACTTCTGCGATTGGTTTGTTTTTAATCCGTAGCCGGCATACGTATGGCTCGAAGTCCTTCCAAAGCAGCTTAGAAGTCTCTTCAAGCCCTCAGCAGGAGTGCTGAAATTTAATTAAATCATGCTCGCTGTTCAGTATCTTGATACATATTTAAGCTCAAAGATTATTGACTCTGTTTTTTTTCTGTATTTCTTTGCTGAACTAATAAAACAATATCAATAAAAAAGCCTCAAAATAAAATTTAAAAATTAAATTACTATTTTAATAAACGAAAAAGAGAATAATATGTATATTTAATGCACTGAAGAGTTGTTTGTTATAGAATTTTATGGCAATCATTCTGTTTTCGATGCAGGGTAGTGGGCAAGTAAAAGAGTGCAGTTCTGTAGCACAGTAACGTAATATATAGCATTAGAAACATTTTTATTAATTATATTAATATCGTAAATGTTAATAAAGCATGTAGCCAATTATTATATTATCAAGAAATGGAGATTGTTTTTAATTGGCTGAATCTGTATTGCAACTGGATACTGTTATCATTTCGAAATTAAATAACTTTTTATTACGAATTCTGGACGTGATCTGAGCGAAATAAAATAAAGAGTCCTGAATGATTAACGGCATAATTTCAATAATAAATAAAAAAAAATTCAGTATTTTTTATGTTTTGTAGTGCTTTATGTATCATATAGTTTATCGAAATATGCTTACAGTGTTTTAGAAATAACATCTGGCAAATTGCCTCGTTAGCCTTGACTGTGGAAGTGCTCATTGATTATTGTTTGTAAGTAGTTGTATGATTCATGACTTATTTGCATACACCTTTCCTTTTAAATAGCCCAAGAGGGAAAAAAAAGTCTTAAATCTGGAGATCGTCATGGCCAGTTAAAATTCGAAAATTGGAAAATGTGTGTGTGTGATTATGGCAAAGCCTCGAGGGCTATGTGCCTAAGGGGAGGGATGCCTTCGTGGAGGTTTTTCTAAGGGAAACTGGCTCTTATACACGTTACACATGGGGAAAACCACGAAAACGCCCATGCAGCCAGCCCGTTCGCGGGATTCAAACCTCGGACCGAACTGCCAGTGTTCAGCGACTTTACCGCTCGGCCGCTGGTTGGCCGAAAATTGGAAAATGAAGCGATTGCCAAAAGGCCCCCCCCCAAGAAAAATAGCCACCGTTTGTAGTTGAAAATGTTGAACGAATCGGTAAATTGCTGGAGCACTAAGCTTTTTCCGAATATTAAAGGCGCTGCAGTGTGCTTATTGTTTGAAAATAATAGATTGTGGATGTTCAAAGTAAAATTGTACAATTTTCGTCTTTTAGTAGGTGTTGATCTTTTCTGCCCTAAAATCTTTCAGATATTGCTTATAACAACGCTACCTAGAGTACAATACTGTCCTGAGGGGACGGAAGAAAGAGAGAGAGAGAAGAAGAAAGAAGCGGAATACAAAACAAGAAAACGTTATTTATTATTTAAGTTAGTTTAGTGTAGTATATTGCAAAACAAACGAGAGCTATTTGTCTAAGTGAAGGAATGCCTTATTAGAAGACTTTCTAGAAGAAACTAAATCGTTATGCATGGGGTAAACCACGAAAAACACAACTGAAGCCACCTTATTCCGGCTGGATTCGAACCCGGGTCAACTGTCAGTAATCAGCAGTCTCAACCACTCGGTCACTACTAGGGCTATTTATTTACTATTTAAATCCTAAAACCAATTATACGTCACCCTATATAAAAAAAGCTTTAAAAATAATAAAGTGAAAATTAAAAAATACTGTTATTTGCAAAATATTGATCGAAGAGGGCCTGTACATGAAAAGTACTTGTGATTGATGGACGTGGAAAAAGAAAACTGTATTTAAAACTTCTCTCACCGTATCCATTTACTTTCTTTCGCTGTTTCTTTCCTTCTTTCCTTCCCCCCTTTTTTTATATCTTATTTTGTAATTCTGAGTGAATGCAGATTCTGACGTATTCGAATGGGTTTCTAGGAAGAGTAACTATTTTTATATGCCGTGGATCGCATTGATTTGTGCTGACGAAGATCTTGGTCATCTTCCTAAACCACGTTTCGCGGTTTTGTAATTATTTTTTCCGTTTTCTGGGGAAATTACCTTGCAGAAATTTTAATTTCCGACGGTATTGGAATGATTATTTAATTAGGCCGCGTCGGCATTTTTCTTTATTATTTTATTCTATGAAAACGCTGGTCTTATCAGTTTCTTGACTGCAGGCATCTTTGATGAATTTCATTTTTGTTAGTTCGGCTTCTGAAGTGAACTAATGCAGCAAGAAATTGCTTGAAACGCGAAATAAAACTGCTGAATTAAGGAAAGTCTAGTGTTTTCCACAAAAAAAAAAGCGAACGGATGGCACTTTTATACCTTTTTAATTTCAAAATTTGTTTGGATTTCAAAGTGGTTTCCTGTGTCCGTACTTTTTTATTGTTTTGGAACAAATTCACTTGTTATTTTGGGTTGTTATGGAGTCTTTTAGATTTCCTGTGAGTTGAATCTTGAAAAATTTAGCTGAAGTAAGGGATTTAACACCGATAATCAGAACTACCCCATCTGGCAAGGGACTCTTTTTCCCCAAACTAATTATAAAACTTATTTAAAATGGATTCAGAAGAGTTTTTTTTTGTGGCGTCTGTACGTACGTATATACCTGTGTATTTATGTATCTCGCATAACTCAAAAACGAGTAGCCTCAGAACGTTGCGATTTTGTATGTATGACTGCTATAACATGTAGTTGTGCATCTCCCTTCTTGGTTGCAATCGGCCATACCAGAATTATATAAATAAATGTATATGCAAGATAAAAAATATGTAAATCAAATTTATAATTTAAACTAACGGTAAAACTTTCATTCTCCCTCTCTGTTCTAAAAATCGTAATAACTTCTGTGAATTGCGTTATTTCTAGATCATTCCATTTTGCATGGCCTGCACAGCGCTGATGACGTTATAATTGGGAACTGAAACTTTAACTCAAACCAAAACCTTCCTCTTCGTGTGCTTCTATCTGGTATAACTACGCACGTCTCTGCTCTGCTTGGACATAATTTCGTAATGCTGCTTCCTATTGAAATAATATCAAAAATGTAAATGTTCTTGAATAGGCACAACTCGAGTGCCAAGTGAACTGTTGCCACAAATATCAATTGCAATAAAAATGGAATTAAAACTGTTTCGACTGCCAAGTTTTTTAGATACTACGAAGTGAACAGATTAGCATACTACGCAGTTGGAGCTCTTGCCCTTCAATATGGATCTACGTACGGATCCAACAGTGCTCCGTCTTTTCCTTGCTTTTATTCTGTCGTATATATATTATATATATATATATATATCACTCTATTACTCAGTGAGCTATGGCTCACTAAGCCCAGTTTTTTTTATTCTTATATGTTGTAAATTGTGCATTTTTTGCTTTAAAAATGATTGAATTATGTTGTTCTTATCTTCCGGTTAAGGTTTTTATGTTTTTAGTTAATGTGCTTGCAATAGCTGTAGAATTATCAGCAGTTTAAAAGTTGTTTAAGTGCTGCTAAGCCTAATTTATTTTTACAATAGCAGCCATATTTGTTTACATTTGAAACTAAGCAGAATCGCGGAGAAGTCTTTCTGCACCTTCAGTGTCTTTCTGCCGAGTGGTTCCAAAAGGAAACTTTTAGTTTTGTGCACCGAAAAATCTGCCTTCTTGCCTGTTGGCCGAATTGTGTGTTTTCGCATAGAAACTGTAACTTTAATTGTAAAAAAATTTTTTTTTATTTTTTTTTAAAATTGTTTTAACTGTATCTGGTGTTTTACGTTTCGTATATCTTTCAAATTTTAATGAAGATATTTTGAGTTTTTATGCATGCCTTGCCGCGAAGTGAGAACTGAATTAATTATATCTCTAATAAAATTCGTGGAACTAAAGTGTTTCGTATTAGCTGCAAATATTATCGCCAGTCTTTCTCTGGCAGAAGAGAATTTTTACGAGTAGCGCAAGCGCATTAGGTAAGTGGCGCTGAATCATGAGTGAAAAACTATTTATTTTTTATTTAATTTCTTTTATACATCGTTTTAGATGTATTATAACATTTGAATAGAATATGTGGCAAACATTAGATAATTCTTGAAATGATATAATTTTTGTGCATTCTGAGCTATAAAATGAATGAGTTGTAGCACTATTAAGTGAACCTAACGCCACAGTGTCGCTATGGTAAATAAATATAGTGAATTTTAAAGAGTGCATTTATTCTATTGTGGTTTATGCGCTATCGGCGAAGTAGACTTAATTCAATTCAATAAGTTTAGATGAAATGCAGAAAAAATGCGTAAAATTTGATATTCCATACAAGGAAGTCATGTGGTGTACACATCAGATTTTTATTTTACAAAATCAAGATCCATAATAATGAAGAATTGCATACATTCTTTCTTCGTGTCTTTTTGGTATAGTAGTACTCAACATACTCCACTGTGTTCGTTTTCACCCTTTCCCACTTCAGTCTGTCTGGAGGTAGCAACAAAATTCTTTCTTTCTGCACGTGCTGCGGGTAAAAACATCGTAAATCGTGCGATTTCAGCCTTTTTTTCCCCCCTTTACTACATTTGAGACGTTTGGCAAGGGGGCAGGTGTTCAAAGAAGGAAATTGGACGAAATGATAACCCGTACTTTAGTATGTGCTGCTATTTCGTAAAAACGTATATGTTATATGAGGTATCAAAGTAAGTGACATTAATTTTGTATCTAAACAATGTCTGAACACGAAGGGCGGAGCTTCGTTGTGACGTCACTTCATGCATACTGCATAATCACGTTCTATCGTGTCTTAAATTTAACGCATTATTGGAAAGTAAACATTATCCAAGGATCAAGCAATTGGTGTCGAGAGTTGCTGGAAAAGTTACATTAGTGTATATATATATATATGTAATAATAAAATTCCATAGTCAAGAATACACTTAAAATTCTAACTGTATGTTCTTTTCATTTTTAATGGCGACGTTCTCTTATTTGAAAGTACGTGGAATTAAATCCACAGCCCTGTAGTCAAGTTGTTTTTCCCGCCTTTTCTACACGTACACTTTTAGAATGTTCTGGAAATATTTCAAGCGAACTGGATTGGCTGACGTCATTTCTTGGAAGCTCCGCCTTTCCAGAGGCTATAAAAAGACTCGCAAAAGGAATATCGGGGCTTTTTCTTAAATGTCAC